TGAAACATCTGTGGCGCCAAACCAAAGCTTTTCTCCTGGGTCCCCCATGTCCCTCAGTCCGGCTTCTGGGGCCACAGAAGGACTGCTCCCTCTTTCACACGCGTAGCTCTGCAGATATCTGAAGGAACTCTCACCTTCTTCAACCTAGACCCGACAACTATTCTTGTGAGATAGTCTCCAGTCCTCTCCCAAACCTGGTCACCACTCTGCACCCATCCGAGGCTGTGTCCTCGGCATTGTGAAGAGTATTAAGGCCAGGAAGGTAGTAGAACAGAACTGTCACCTCTGTTGTCCTAGACCCTATATCCCCGTTATGCAATCTAATGTCGATCTTGACGCGCACACTATCACGCTGTTGCTGACTCGAGCAGAGCACCCCGTAAGCCTGAGATTCTCTCGCATGTGCGTTGTTCAGCCACCCACTTCTAGACCCTGTACTCAAAGTTTCCTGGACTAAAGGCTCCCTCAAACCTGGCCACACACGGGACTTATGGGGGCGGGCCAAAGATTCCTAGGCCCCGCCCAGGACCGTGGCGCTCCACTGAGTCCCGCGGAAGCCCCCCTCCCCCCGCCGGGGTCCCTGCCCCCCGGGCTACCTGTAGGCGCCAGATTCGCTCGCTCTCCTTGGGAGACGTCGTCCACGTCTCTCCCATGAGGGCAATGAGCATGTTTGAGGCAGGAGGACGAATGGTTGAGGATGACATAGTGATGAGCAGGAAACAGAAAGAGGATGGGGTACTTGGAGTTCTGCTGGATGTCAGGTCGCCAGGCTATGGTGAGTTGAAGAGTTCCAGCACCGCTCACTGGAAGGCTGCCGTAGGAGCTTGCAGTCCTTTGGTCGCGTGGACACTTCTCGATCAAGCGAAGGCCAGCTGGAGGAACATAACAGGAGTGCTCACATTCAGCCTCTCTGCCTGGCGGGGGGTACCCGTAAAGGCTCAGTATGTTTGCACCTGCCTGCCCAGGGCTGCGCCTCTTCCTCTCTGGCCAGGAGATCCCATCGCCAGCCTCATCAGCTGGTTGCTCTGCCCTGACCTCCTGCAGAATACCCCTTCCCACCCCAACGAAGCTCGTGCTCTTCTCTCCCTCTGGCCCAGCATTGCCCTTGATCACTTGCAGCCTTGCAGGGGAGGGTTTTTTGGGGCTGATTCAATCTATGCGTGTGTCCCTGGCTCTCCCAGCTAGTTTTTGGCCCCTGACTTGCTATAGCCTGGTCTCTAAAAGGACCCTATAGCTGTAAGATCCCAAGTCGTCCTCTTAATGCTTCTGTTGGAGCCCCCAGGGAGCATGACCAGGCTCACTCTTCTCTTTTTCCAACACACCACAAGTCGTGGCTCACTGCTGCATGGATGGATGGATGATGATGATGGGTCGGGATGGATGGATGGCAATTTAATGAGTGATTAAATGGGTGATGAATAAACAAAGCAGGTGGAGGAGCTAATAATAAGCAAAATTTGGACCAGAAAAGTACCAGAAGATGAGAACAGTGCCTAATTTCAAATGCCAATAATCACTGGAAAAGAAGGAAAAAAATCTGTTATGGGGGGAAAACCCTATATCTTTCTATGAGAGGTTAAATTAAAGCCATGTTGTGCCAGCCTCTCTGTTTTAATAGAGAAGATGTTAAGAGGGGGGTCCCCCTCGGGCGCCCCAATAGACCAGAGGCTCTCGCCAGATACATCTGAGCAAACTGTGAGAGCGACATGGTGTGAAACCAAGGAGTACCTCAGTGCATAACTTGGGCTCCTACTTTTGCAAAGACCATCAATTCAAATTCTGTTAACTTAGTTTCCCTCTGTTAAAATGGGACTGAAAACAACCTGCAGAGCCGTATCTTAGGCTGTGGGGCTGCATGAGATGATGATGGATGGGAACTGGGCAGCATGTCATACAATGCGGTGGATAAGAGAGACCAGCCTGGTTGCTTCCTGGAGCCTGAAGCTTCATTCCCTTGTGCTTCAGGGCATGGTGGTTCCACTGATCGGAGTATGGGAAGAAGTGAAAAAATAATGATGGAAAATGCTAAGCATGACGAGCGCCCCACTGTAGTGATGCAATTGCGTGATACTGCCAGTGCTTTGTCATGTGACTCTGTATAAAGTGCTTTACGATGCTTTCAAGTTATAAAGTGCTTACAAAGAGCCACTATTATTTATAAGTCAATTACCTACTCCAAATCCAGTAAGAACACGATATATACAAACAAGAACTTCAGATATCATCTGCAAAATGACTGCAAAGAAAGAAACCGGATTTCATAGGTAAAGTTGGAGCTGCTGCTCCACCGCACACCCAATCTCCTTCTTCCCCACCCTCTCCCTGGCCAACTCCTCAGCTGCTCAAAGTCGGCTCTGGACCAAGCCCCAGCCCCAGGCTCTCTCCTCCTTCACCTTCCAGAGCACAGTCTCTCTGCCCCTGCTGATCCCAGCCTTAACTTTCTCCACAGGGTCTCTCTTCTGGACCCCTCAACTTCTGGGGACAGGGGTGTCCTGAGTCTGCTCATACCAGCTCGCTCCAGAGGCTGACTGTTAAGTTTTCATGAAGTTTGAGCTGCTGTTAAAGGACAGTCTTATCAAGAACTAAATCAAAACTTTTCACTGTATTAAGATGAGTAAGTTCTGGGATCCAACTGTAACAGCATGAGGACAATAGAGAACCAATATATACTGATTGTATACTTGGAATTCGCTAAAAGTATAGACCTTAAATGCTCTCACTACACACAAAAGAAAGAGGTAACCATGTGAGTCGATGGATGTGTTAACTAGCTTGAAATGGGCATCTTTCACACTATATATGTACATCAATCCTCAACATGTATACCTTAAATTTAGACTGTTTACTTGTCAGTTATACCTCAACAAAGCTGGAGGGAAACAAATTATTTGTTATTGCAAAAAAATTAAACATTATATACGTACTAAACAATATTATATGTAAAACAAAGATAATATTCAAAAACTATTCCCTCCTATTATTTACTACATTTTACAATAATCTATGCTTTTGAGTATTATATCTATGTAGCCATCTAGTGGAATACTGTGTGTTATATTATAACTGTGCATTAGAACTGTGCTTCTCCCAGACACAAAGTCAGTGACTAATGTG